GGGGGGGGGGAGATGAGTGTCAGCCACCCCCCCCAAAAAAATTCCAGCAGAAAGCGAAAAAGGAGACCTACACACATCAGAAAAAAAACAGGCCGAGAATGAAAGGCTGTGTGACTTTTGGGGAGAGGCTGCCACATTTAAAAACCTTCACTATCTTTATAGAAGCAGATAATTTTCTGATGGCCAATTGGAGGCAGTTTACTCACCGATTATCCATTAACCTGCCTAGGGAGACCTGTAGTGATGAAGCCTATAGGGGCCCGCCTGGGTGATCAGAAGGTCAAATGCTAGAGGACGGGTGACTTTCAGGAGTTGTGGGGGGGGAGATGAGAGTCAACCACCACCCCCCCCAAAAAAAATTCCAGCAGAAAGCAAAAAAGGAGACCTACACACCTCACCCACCATAGGCCTGGAGGATGGACAATATGGGTTGCTCCTGCTTCCTGGGCTTTAAAGCATGCTTGACTGTGGGCCGGGTGAGGTTTTCCTTCTGTACAGATGTGTACACATGACACATCTGTCTGCTGACAGAGACAGGACACCCCAGCAAGAAACAGAAGCAACCTCCCGCTCAACTTTGCCCTTCTGCTACAACTTGTTTTTTAAAAAACGTGCCTGATGACCTTTGGCCTCTAAGCTCAGAGTAGTTCTCGGAGCGGCATCTTATACATTTCACAGGCCACAGCTTGCCTGCAAATTCAATTACGGGCACCGTCTCTGGTTTCTCCAGCCTCTTCGACCAACCCCATCTACCCGGCACGCGCCCACCCCCACGCCCACCCTAGCCTCCTCAAGCCACAGGCTATAAAGACAGGTAGCCAGTTGCTGCCTGGAAGTTAGTGCATCTCATTCCAAAGTGTCTTTTGGCCGCTAATAGGGGACGGAATCTCAGATCTCCTAGGAACCCCCTTGATCCTGGATAGGGGAAGAAGCTTCCAAGAGTCTTCCTCCCCCACTCAGTGAGTTCATTCTCATACAAGATCCTGCTGTTGCAGTTTATGGGAAGATCACTGCTGTGATCATTTTTCTATGGTGTAGTTTCAGTGATGGGGTGGGAGGGGAAGAGAGAAAGTGCCCCCAACTTCTTGTACTCCAAAATCAGACTGTTCAGGTTTTGTCTTCAGATCCCCTTGTCTTTTGCCAAGGAACCCACTGCCACCGGCTTGGTTTCATGTGCTTATCCTTCCCCCCCCCCCCAAAAAAGGGAAAATTTACTGGAGAAGTTCTGGGTAGCAAACTATATTATACCAAAATGATGCGAATTGACTTCCTTTCCACCCCGCTCTCACCATTCCCCAAGAAAATCAAAGAAATGAAGTTGAATCAAAGGCAAGCTAAGTTCGACTAGCTAACTCACAAGCTAAGGTTTAAGGGGCTCAGAGTTTATGCTAGCCTGATGGAATTAGGGTTTTCTTTCTTTTTTAAAAAATAGCTAGCCTCTCCTGTCATGGCTTGTGCAAGCAGTTTTTTTAAAAAGAAGCCTCTTCCTGTTTCAAATGCAGCTTGCTTGCCATGTGCCAGGGCCGCTGAAGTTCAAGGGAAACATCCTTCATCCTTGCCTTCCCACATTCCTGGGCTCACAGAAAGGGTTTTGTGCTTCTTTAGACCACAGCCACTTTTTAAAAAAGCACCTGCAAGGTCAATAAATGAATATGCAATGGGGGGAGTGAAATCTTGATGCCACCATATCATCTCTTACTACACACCAGCATGTGCTGGTCACTCCCTCAATTGCAGGATGGCGCATAGTTATCCTTTTTCATTTCATCACAGCATAAACCTGTCAATTTATGGGCAGGGTGGGGAATCACGGAAATCACACCATTTTATTAACTTTTAAAAGTGAGGTTCCTATCGGAGTCTAACTATTTAACAATCCATGACAGGTGATGTATCACTTCTAAGGCCTTCAAAAACAAGTTCAGAGCTGGAAAAGTACACCAGACACCTGAGAATTTTTGGCTTTTCATCTGCCCATACAAAAGTGAAATAGTGTATGGTAATATTTTGCCTAGATCCAAGCTATACAACCCTATGTACCTGCCCTGCCTTAACTATATACAGAACCCCAGGGTGGGCAGAATAATTCCATATTCCCAGTACTGTTGGCAAGTAGATGGTGTGACTTCTTCAAAGCTACAAACTAATGAAACTCAGTACAGAATCAAAAAAATGCCATTTATTATAGTAGATTATTCTTTCTTTTTGATATAACCATAGAGTTTAAAAATGAGAGAAAAGTACAGAAGGAACATCACACATTGTTAGTTGGTAACTCAAGAAATAGATCAATTTTGCACAGCAAAATGTGTCAAGGGCAAAAAAAGAGAAAAAGTAACTGACAAGATTCTTTTAGATTTATTGTGGCAAGATTTACTCTCCATTTGTTTTAAAAGACAGGCTTATTTTCAGACCCTGAAAATAATAATAAAAAGCCCTGCTGATTAATGCCTTCAAAACTTGTGTGAATTTGTGAAGTTACAGAAAATCCAGTTCTGTACCACAACTGTAAAAAAAAAAATCTGCATCATTTAAAAAACTGAGCAGTAATGCCATCTTTGTAACTGAATGACCAGTATTAGCATCCTAGACAAATCTGCAATGGTTTATATTTTATGCGTCAGGTTATATCTTAGTGCAATTCAGTCCCAAATATTTTAATTTCCATCTCCCCTCCCCAGCACAAAGCCCCCAACCATACATTTTGAACATAAAATACCCCTATTAATATAAACCCGGGGGGTTTCCCCTTTAATACTTTGGTTTTCCAAATACAGTCAGTGGCATATCAGAATCTACACATGCCCAACTTATATTTCAGTTGCAAACACATGCTGCTACTTAAAAACAAAAACAAAAACAGTCCCATTGTAAATTCTACCCCCTTTTAACATCACAACAGTGAACAATTTAGTGCATCATAAAAAAAAGAGAGAAAGAGAAAATCTATGTCTAAGCAGACCTAACTCTTTTGAATCCATTTATAACATTCCTTTATCTGTAGCATACATTTGAACTGAGCTAACAGACCATAAAAGCTAGATTTAAATTATATACCAGGAACCCATAACATTGCACATTGGACAATGACCAAATGCGAAAGGGATAACAAAAACAGAACAGAAAATGGGGTGAAACATTCCAAAATAAAGTTTCAACTGCTTTAAGCAACAACATAATGTTTAAAATCCCATCAATTGGAAGGTGTTTTTTTTCAAGCACAAGTTTTAAAACTTCTTTCCACTTTTTTTTTGTTTGGTTTGGCCATATTCAGAGAATCACAGTCCATTCTGGCCTTTGCATTGAAAGTATGGGGTGTTTCGATGCACTGAAAAGGATTTTGAAGTTTTTGAGCAACTCAATGCAGTTTCCAGAGGAGAGACAAAGCTGAATAGGGAGGAGGAAGACCAGAAAAGTTGCCCCCCCTTTTTTGCTTTCAGTTCACACAAAAAAAGCAATGAGGCAATAAAACTAAAACAATGTCATGCCGTTATAGTTTCAGAAGTCCATATCCAAGCAAAAGAAAAAAAATATTTACCATACATGTCCAGCATGCAGGGTTTCTATCAATATAATGTCTTTTTTCTTTCTCCCATAGTTTTTTTTCCACCCCCACAAAGAGTTATAGAGTTAAACTGATGCTAAGCATAATAATGGATGAGATGAGGATGGGGTTCTATATGGCAGATGCAAACTTTCATTATCTGGCAGGTTAGGCCAAAAAAAGGTCTATCAGGAACACATGGGAAGTTGATCCAGGCTTCTTTCTGGTTAAGTTGATCTAAATAGATTCTGTAGGTTTAGCCGAAGGACAGATGGAATTTCAGCAAGCTGAAGAAGTCTTAAAACTTTCATCCTGTTTGGCTCTCCCTCCCAAATCTTTTTTTTGTTTTTGTGTGTGTATGTGTGTGTTTATATACAGTCTAGTTCAAAACTCATACGAAGAACTCAGGATGGCCCCCAAAAGTTGTAACTGCTTTTTCAGGACACACCAAACGTAAAAAAAAGATCAGGAGGGAACACTTTAAAAACTTAAAAAGTAATAATGATGATGATGATACAACAATGTGGATGGCAGGGTTCAGAGGCTCGGCAAGTTTCGGTTGAAGAATTGAGCTGGTCGGAAGTTGGGTTTGAAAAATAAAAATATACACAGACATGCACAGACACAGCCCTTAAGCTCCCCGGGAAGCAAAAGATGGGATTTTTGGGGGGAAGAGTTGTGATAGTTTGGGCTACCACAGAGCCGGTCCATCACAAAAATAATAATAATCATAATAATAAAAAAGCCTAATAGTGGAAGTTCTTTGTGTTTGGTAAAAAAAAGAAAAACCAACAACAACAGCCCAAAGGAAAACCAATAATATTAATAAGAAAAAATTAAAAATGGAACGCAGGATTCTGGCCAGCTTGGGTTGGTGTGGGGTCATCCAAGCTGTCTCCCCCCCTCCCTCCCTTCTGCTCCAGCCTCCTGGCCAACTTGGGGAGGGGGGGAGGCGCACACGTGTCGGCCTGCGCGTGTGAAAGCGCCAGCGTGTTTCGCTCTCTTTTTTATTATTATAAAAAAAGGAAGGGAAAAAAAGGAATGACAAACAACACCGAGTGGCCAGAGGTTCGTCCCGGGGAGCTGAGAGGTGGAGCGCGAGGGAGGCGGAGAGGGTTTTTTTTTTGAGGGGGGGAAGGAGAGAAGAAGCCGGTGGCGGAGAAGACGGCAACTCACATGAAAAACTCGGGCGAAGACGGGTCGTCGCTGCTGCCGGAGCCGCCGTTTTCTCGGAAGCCGCTGCTGACCAGCTTCTCGTATTTCTGCTTGTAGGCGTCCCTCTCCCGGACCAGCCTGGAGATCTCTTGCTTGAGTTGCTCCACTTGCTGGAGCAGCTGGTTCTTCTCCGACTCCAGGACGTGCCGCTGCTGGACCCGCTTGAAGCGGCACGACTGGGCATAGCCTCGGTTTTTCAGGGTCCGCCGCTTCTGCTTGAGCCGGATCACCTCTTCCTTGCTGACCCCTCGCAGCTGCCGGTTGAGCTCCCTCACCGACATGGTCACCAGCTGCTCGTCGGAGAAGCGGTCGTCGAAGTGCAAGCCGTGGTGCGGGTGGTGGAGGCCGCCGCCTCCTCCGACACCGCCGCCGCCGCCCGCCGACCCGTGGCTGCTGCTGCTGCTGTTGCTGCCGCCGCCGCCACCTCCACCGCCGCCTCCTCCGACACTACTGCTGCTACTGCTGCTGCTGCTACTGCTGCTGCTGGACGAGGACTGCACGCTGCCCGGCGGCTGGGGATGCTGCTGCGGATGGTGGTGGTGGTGGTGGTGCCCGGCCGCGCCGTGGTGATGATGATGATGATAGTGGGGGGCGCCGCCGTTCTGCTGCTG